TCTTATTTGTTACATGAATAACTCTGTGTTTATTAAACATTCTTATTTGTTACATGAATAACTCTGTGTTAATTAAACATTCTTATTTGTTACATGAATAACTCTGTGCGAGTCTTAACTGCATTAAGCATTTTCTTGCTGTAAAAAATGTTCTGAGCTAAAATTCAACATTTTCATCTCATGACAAAGAGTCCGAAGCCTCACCAATATTAAGATCTATATCTCTGTACATGTCAAACATTAAACTTGGCATAACTTAGATTTAAACAAAAACTTCGTAGCTTTGTGATAATAACAAAACTACAAGTACCTTTCTATAGCGAAGAGAAAAAAATGGTGTTATACTGTAGGTAAAAAGACAACTATTGTACATACCGCGGGCTTCGAACCTCAATTTGAACCGTTTCAATCTTTCAAGCGTATCGTTCAGCGACTGGGTTGAGGCGCAAGAATCGGATAAACTACGTGTCATTGATCTATTTTGTAACAACGAATCCACTGCCTCTGTTGCTAACCGGAAGTTTAACTTACGAAGTTTTTACAGAAATTCTCGTAACGTTAGTCCTACCTGTTCACGTCGACGTTCGTTGTTTCAAATATTGTGTGCGCACGTTCCACGTGTTCGTGTTCTACAGCAACAAAAAGGGCTGGAAATAGAAATGTTTATTACAGAAAAAACAAACAAAAAAAATCTTACAACATTTTCAAAACCGTAACAGAGAAACTAAAGAACTAAACAGTTCGAGAATGAATAACGTAAGACTCTTGTTATGAATTCGGCATCACACTTATCTCGTGGGACGTTCTTCAATTATTTCAATCAAACTTGCATCGTTAGTCAGATTATTGGATGTACATGTTAGTCTTTATTAGTTACGCAAAGTTTCTGACTGATTGGGGAGCAATCAAGGACACTTACCTTGCAAATTGATATTAAATTTACTGATCTTTTCCAGTTTTTTCCTTTCAGCTTTAGTGAGTGCTAAACCCTCGAGCAACACGTCAACGCTACTGTGTCGCATTCCTGGAATTTGAAATATAGAAAGTTTGGCTCGAATATAATACTACATCGTGAAAAACCCACGTTGATTCATAAAAACGTTTACTTAATAAAAACAAACCCATTAATGATAGAACACCTTTCTTATCACACATTTTGTAGTTTGTAATATATTAATGCTGGGGTCTGTATTTCATGTAATGTTACTTGAGTATTTTAATAACTATGTATCAAACACTGATCGATCTTCACGACCATCATTGAAAATTGATTTTCCAAGCTCAACTGTTTTAATGCTATAAAGACGTAAACAAACTCTTAAAAAATTACGAAAAATACCCTGTAACTACCCCTTTAACAGTCAGGGTACGACATTACAAATATCCTGTAACTACCCCTTTAACAGTCAGGATATCGCATTAAAATACCCTGTAAATACCCCTTTAACAGTCAGGGTATGGCACTACAAATACCCTGTAAATACCCCTTTAACAGTCAGGGTATGGCACTACAAATACCCTGTAAATGCCCCTTTAACAGTCAGGGTACGGCACTACAAATACCCTGTAAATACCCCTTTAACAGTCAGGATACTACATTACAAATACCCTGTAAATACCCCTTTAACAGTCAGAGCAGGACATGAAAAATATCCTGTAGTTGCCACTTTAACAGTCAGAAAACGACATTATATACATCTTGTAACTGCTCCTTTAAGAATCGCAGTAAGCCATTGTGTATATATGTAACTGCTCCTTTAAAAATCGCAGTAAGCCATTGTGTATATATGTAACTGCTCCTTTAAAAATCGCAGTAAGCCATTGTGTATATATTAATGTCTTAAAGTGATTCTTAAAGGAGCAGTTACATTCTTAAAGGAGCAGTTACAGTTATATGTACTTTAAGACATTACATATAACTGTAACTGCTCCTTTAAGAATCGCTGTAAGACATTACATATAGCTGTAACTGCTCCTTTAAGAATCACTGTAAGACATTACATATAACTGTAACTGCTCCTTTAAGAATCACTTTAAGCCACTAATTATAACTGTAACTGCTCCTTTAAGAATCACTTTAAGACATTACATATAACTGTAACTGCTCCTTTAAGAATCACTTTAAGACATTACATATAACTGTAACTGCTCCTTTAAGAATCACTGTAAGCCACTACATATAACTGTAACTGCTCCTTTAAGAATCACTTTAAGACATTACATATAACTGTAACTGCTCCTTTAAGAATCACTTTAAGACATTACATATAACTGTAACTGCTCCT